GTTTCTTTCTAACTCTCTCTGAATAGCTGAGAATCCGGTCTGAGGTAGCCGCTTCGGCTGAAAAACCTCATACGACTCCCTGTTTGCCACTATGAGAGCAATGTTTTCAATGTTTTGCCTTTTCAGCATATGTGTGTTTTGATGTTTTCAATGCACTAATTTGTCAAACTTTTGTCATGAATGCTACGAAACTTGAACCACTTTATTTAGGAAACAAATGTACCAACATAGAGTTATTATCATGCGAATTCAACGAAATGTTATACCAAAGCTTTCATTTCACAGTACTGACGTCATTCATACCAGCAGAGGTGCCGCTTTTAAGCCCGCAGCTCCACAACGTGCCTGTTAAAACAGCTGAAAGTGGTACATCTTGCCAATTACAACTGGCGACGGCCCTTAGCGGAGTCTGCCTTCGTCATGACGACGGCAGACCTGACATCTACAAATGTCGCGGGCTAGTGCCACAGTCTGTGCAACCAAGACAAAAAATAGGTGTGCTGCGGCAACAAAATGATCACTGGTGTAATTCTGCTCGATAACATAACTCATGTGTGCGCAAAACATGTGCCATGACCATCGCGCATCCCGCACAGTTTGAGAGCTCCCATACAAGCTGGTCTTATCCATATGTGTATCCCTTCAGCGTCGACGTCCCAAGATGTTGGTCATCTGCGCCTTGGCACGTAGGCTTACGAAAGATGCAGTAAAAAGCGTTCAGGACATTTCACTGTCTTGACCAGGAAAGGATGTCACGATTCGAAATGAGTGAACAGTTCGGTGCATTTTTTTGGTGGAAGCGGCCGCCATTTGGACTACGGTGTGTAAGAGTTGTATTATTTAATACGCAACGGAAGAAATTTTACGGAAGAAATTACTTAAGAGCGGCTAAAATACAAAAAATCACCTTGCTTTCCACTCGTAGTACATCTCAGTCATTCATTACACAAGCCGAGAGTTGGCAAGAGTTGATTATTTCTACTGATAACGACAGCGGTTACGTAACAGTGCAACTGATCACAATCACTTCGAGGTCAAACTTCGTTGGATGAGAACATGACAGCTTGAATGCGAAGACCGTCGGAATTTTTCAATGAAACTGTGGCATGAGATGTGGGTGCAGTTTGGAGATGGACATAGACATAGGACAAGCGACGCTGATATCAAAGATGTCTGCATTCCGTGCTCATCTTCATGAAAATTAAGGTCCAACGCTGTCCCATTTCCGGGGGTGGCATAATCGCCGTCTCAAGTCATTTGTGCTACCGGAAGTAAATTCGTTAGAGATTCTTGATTTCGTTGCCATCGGTACTGGCTTTCCTAGCCCGGTGCATCAGACATTAATGTCAGGACTCTCCCGCCACCAGATGGTTCTAACCGATGTTGTGTGCTTTCTAAAGATTTGATACGAACCCTTTGAATGGTTGAATTTCTGGGATCAGAGCTCACGCTATGCAATGTCTGTTGTGTGAGCCCTGACCCCTACCACCCGATCGCGCAATTCCATGTCAACGGCGGAATTTGGCGGCGAAAGCTTGACGTGCCGCAATGCTCGGCACGGTCCGTCCTGCCCTCTGACGTCACCTGACCTCTAACGCGACCGCTGCCACTGGCCGCAGGCCATACCTGTCAAGGGCAAGGGCATTGAAATCAACTATGGCATGGCTGACGCCGAGGATGATATTGATCTCAACGCCTCTAGGATTCTTGTGTCCTTTGGCCTCCAGCTGCCTCTGGCCATTCCCAAAATGTAGTAGATCTATTCATGGGTGTTACTGACGAGAATGACGATTCGGAGTTTTGTTAGCGAAGGCTTTACAGAAGAAAGCAGCACGGAAAAGGAGCGGCCACAGGAGTACGTTATCTGTTCTTAACTACATATAGCAATGTCACTGGCAAAAGCTCAGTATCCCTCTGGATCAGAAGGCACCGTGCCCAGTTGTCTTCAGCAAAGGACCCCACCACTATTCGTCAAATGTAATCCGTGCGCATTCATCGGCAGACTGTAAATATCCGTCCCATCTCCAGCCGAGCCCACAGCAGACAGATTCAACAAGCTGTTCAACTCTCTCCCGGACGAATTCATCATTCAGAAGGTCGAGTGAGTGACTGAAGTGACGAAGTGGATGTGCTCGACAGAACCATGGTGTTTCGTTCATCTGTTGTAATTAAGTTGACTGCACTGTAACTGCAAATACATGAATCGATATCCACACCACTTATGTACTATGGTTGCAACACCCGTATATGGCCTAATTGACAAGGAAGCTCACGAAAGCTGTGAGGCACAGACGTGAGGCACTGATTTACAGTTGGGGAAGGACCTGAGGTGCTGGTCTAAACATGCAGCAGAGACACATTAATCAACCCCGTATCAAATCATGTAGACTTTTCAGGTCTTTTTGTGCGAGATATAAAACATGTCCCGCTCGTGTTCATTACAAACCTCACGCCCTCGACGCTGGTCATTTTGTCACATGCTGACCAACACTTCCCGCTTCTCCCTTGGAAACCATCGATATGCTTCTTATCTACCCAGTTACTCACCCACCGCCGGACTTTTCTTTTTCAGACAACGACGTGGCGTCAAGCATATCGTGAGGTCTTCATAGAAGCAGCGAGGCAGAGGCATGCAAAGGCGCTGATTTCCATCAAATATCTAGGTTAATCAGAATTTGACGTGATATTCCGATAACAGTTTCAGGTAGTGAAACTCTATTCTATCCCAAAAATAATGCTCTTTCGGGTATATATCGTCAAATGAATCCAATTGTAACTACAGTTGGTATTACATATACATATATGTATATATATATGTATATATATGTATATATATATATATATATATATATATATATATATATATATATATATATATATACTACAAGATATATACCGCCAGTGAAATGTCGGTCACATGTACACCTTACGTCATCCATAGTTCAAATTATATTTATGTGAGTGTGAATCGCTTACAAAGGCCGCAGCTATGTGTTCTTCATCCGAGCCAGTCTGCACGCTTCCCAACCAAACGAGGGCTTACACTTGGCCGTATGTTTGACTTCAAATCCAAAGGAGCACATGCACGTGCACACAGTTGTGTGTAATTATGATGAGCACCACCAGTAAGCCGAACGGAAAACGCATAATAGGGTGTAGTCAAACTGATCTCATTGGGAAGGAAATACCTGCAACAGAAGGCGCGTGTGACAACAGTCAGTCGGGCCGGGGCCAGGAAGCATCGCTTGCGTAAGCCTGCTGCCCGCTGTCTTCTACTGACAAAACGGGCTTCGCGCCCAATCTGATTGGTTGGTGAAGTTCAGAGTATCTGTAGTACGCTGGCGCAATTATGCAGGCGCAGTCCAGCGGGCCACACCTCTACGTGTGGTGCGCGGTGGCCGGGGGACTGGTGCGACATGGGGTTCCAGTTTGCATACTCGTTCCTTTCAGAGCATCATCAAATAGTCGAATGGAAAAACGCCCAAAGTTGGAGGGCCCATGCCTCCCCCCCCCCCCATCCCCCCCCCCCCCCCGGGGCCATTCCGTTCCCGCGTCCAAGGGCGACGCCTCCGATAGTTCCGATAAACGTTTTCGATGGTTGTCAAAACTTTGCCGAGCAATAATCATGGGCTGGGACCCACTCGCGATCGATGTCCCACTGTCCATGTTTGATCCTTAGAATAACGAACAATAGCTCACAAACTCGATGATGATTTCGGTTTCGCGGGTCGCAGGTCTGAGCCGGTTTCATTATCAGCGTAGTGATCAGCAAGCTTCATAACCGCATCGTTCTCGTGACAGCGTCCTACGTTGGCAACCAGGGAACCATAGAGTCCAACAGCCCCAGACAACGGCATTCGTTATATGAGTAATTCCTCACTATGAATAAGCATGGCAGGAGGATACTCAAGATAGAAGTACACTCAGCACCCCAGAGGCCAATTCTGTATCTGCTTGTAGGTCGCTACCGGTCTGATCATTCTCCATGTTTTCCTTATCATCTGATTTAGACGACAACCCTTGACACGGCTCGTCTCACCTGCAGTATGCCGCGGTCGTCAGCCGTGAGGGGCTTCCACGGTCACCGCGGTTGAGAGGCACCCCAGGGATGGCACACGCCCCCATCGAGGGATCGAGTGTGCTGTACGCTCTTAGCTGTTCAATCTGGTTCGCCACATGTTCCAATGGATCACTGTGACATGGGTCTAGCAAGTGTCAGTACCCGTTGAGAAGCCCATTTCTCGAAGGCAATTGCATGTTTTACAATTGCAATTTCGACGACGTCAGGAATTGCTACTTGAGTGACATATGTTAGTTTGCATCGAGTTAAAGATTCCATGAACTATTTTGCTAGTGTAGGCATTGGTATGCGCGGATCGTTGACACCAAAGGTAGATCATGTTGGGTCATCTATATACATTCAGGTTGCAACTGCATCCTTCCAGAGCCTTACCCGAACTATCTCACACGAAATCACCTAGGTGTTGTGCGACCCCCAGAAGACCGACGGGCTGGGACTCAGACTTAAGGGCGCGACGCTCTCCGGCTGGGACTCAGCCAGATAAATCGCTGCACTCGAGCTCAGACGGATGCACTGACATGAGTTTACCCCTGACTCGAAATTAGACTCAGATTCAAAACAAGAATCTTCTCTCAGACTCAGGCTCAGCTCCTTGGACTCCGGCCATGCCCAGTCCGGAAGAGTTCCATACACAGCGAAGCCACACAACAGCCCACCACTCCTCCCAGCGCTCCAAATCTGCCGAAACCGCACGACCAATGCGGGCTGGGGCTGCCGTCTGCTGTACTCAGGCACCGCAGGGCTGGAGGTTCGAAAATTAATCAAGGGCCTAAGCAGGGGAAAATGCCCAAACCTGCTCCCAAAGTACACCAAAACGGGCTTCTACCCGAATTCGAAGCAGTATGTCCTCATAGTTGTGAGGGCTGGAGGTCGCCTTTCTCTAACTGAATTATGGTGCTGCAAGTCTGGCCGTACTCACCGTTCGGAGGCATCGGTACGTGCGCCTCGCGCGCGCCGGCCACCGCCAGCAGCGCGGCCACCAGCAACAGGCGGCCGCAGGCCATGCTCGGGTCACGGGGTCGCGCTCCGACACCACAGCCGGCGGCAACGGCGGCCGGCCGACTGGCGGCCCGCCGGCGGACGCCACTGACGCCGCGGCGCCGCCGCGCGCGCGAGATGAAAGCGGCCGTGGGTCACGGGTCAGACGCCGCGAGCGACGGCGGGTGACTCGCGCCCGAGGTCAGATGGCGGTGTTGCGTGTCAGGCTGATGGAGCGTGGTGCTGAACGTTGTTCAGCTTCTCAATATCGTCTCTTTTGCTTTAACTGGGCGCTTGGAGTTGCCTTTTCGGAATATTCAGTGCATTTGCTGCTGCGGCCATACGAAATGCTGCCTGAAACCGGTTCGCTAGAGATGCAGCGGGGGTCCTGCAGAAGGGTGCGAAACAGCGCCGGCTGGAAGATCCCGTAAACAACTGATACGAACACGCCAGACAGCGTCGTGGTTATTAACAGTCTACTATTGTTCTTTGGAGGACACGTACTGAAACCGAGAACAGCCCATTTACTTTTGCAAGTTAGGAACCATAAAAACAAGAAAGCACCAGGGTGACAGAGGAAATGCGACGTCTCCGAAGGTCCCCTAATTTAAATTCGCTATGGCTAATTTGCTACGTGGTGCGTGGAGATTTGATTCGTATCAAACCAAAACAGCATTGAATACGGGATGCTTGCAAATGAACGGTTCTAAAGAGTCCCGGCAACACGTTTCGCCAATGAGCAGTCGAGTAGCCAGCGATCGCACGGTAGTTTACCGACGAGCTCTCGAGGAGGTCCTAAGAGGAAACTGTGTCTACACGCTGAGGAGACTGTGCCTCTGGGGACAGAGTGCGGAGCACGGTACAAGGCAATGCTTCCAAACCTTTCTAGTTCTGATTCCCTTCCTCTCTCTGATCAAGAAGACGCAATTGTTACAAAAACCAAACAACACATCCCAATTGAAGGGAATGTTTCAGATTTGATCAAAGCAACCATCAGATATCATGAAACAAGCTCACTTGTAACTTTTGATATAAATTATAAGTGAAAAACTACTCCAGACAGCACAGTTCTCTGCTTATTAAATACGCTTCTCAATGCGTCATGGTTTGATAACGTTGTCGTACCTGCACAGCATTGATTGAAAGCCAGTTGTTGATCGTTATATCTGGAAATCATGCTCTCGAACGTCAGATGTGAACGCCTCGACCATTCTTTTTCTTTGTCTTGATTGTTGCATTGCCTATGAAGTGAAAGGATTTCAATGACGTTGTATGGCGTCATGAGTGCGAGGTAACTTTGAATTACTGACCCCGAAATACTCTCCTCATTTTTGCGGGCATGTAGCTCAGAAACTAGAGGAACGTAGGCTTTGAGAGGGGCAAGGTTGTGAACAGTACCGGAAAGTCCTAAAGATGGCTTTTTTCAGTTTATAGCCCCATATAAATGTGGAACACATCTTTTAAAGGCGTGTTCCATAGCATGGTACGGTGTTTGAAATTCTGGGCATGTTAAGTATTAAGGTGAATTAAGATAGCCCCCCTAGAGTGTTTATGAACGTGATATTTGTTAAGTTGTATTTTTAATTAATTTCAGTCGCACACCATGCTCACAGAATCGGAATGAATATCACTATGATGGACATGGATATTTGAGCAATATGACTGTGATGAACAACCAATAACTACTTGATTTTGGGACCAAGGTTCGTCACCAAAAAATCTATGAAAAATGCAGGTTATGTAGCAAATATAACGCATGCAATTATTGTAAGGGTTTTCGATATTTCAAGATATGGAGGCATCATTCAGATGCCATGACAAAGCCCTATTGTAATTGTTGGTGAGCTTATAAGTACAAGAGGCTGATGTAAATCACAAACTTTCCTTATTCACTAACTTTCCTTTCTCAACATGTCATTGTTGGGTTACCCCACGGAAAAATGTTACGACACCAGACTTGCTGCCAAATTGGCCATATCAGAATTGCCACCAGCGGACGCCGGACTGACTTGTGCTAAAACACCGCAAGATGGTGGTGGCGTATGTGCGTGCAAGCTTGCTTTTGTGGTTTGTGCGTGTGTTTTGCTCCTTTCTCGTAGTATTCTGGTGGGATTTTTCATGATGCTGTGTTTCTTGCTTGCATTTAAATCTTCTATAGCGGCACTTTTCCTGACTTATTTAATTTTCAGACATGACCACTGAAGCTAGTAGGACTGCGCACACACCCGTGTTGTGTGTCACAAAACACGGCTCGTGATCGAGTCATGCAATCGGCGGCTTCGAGCTTGACCAACTGCTGTCTGCCGATAAGACAATTCATGCCGACGTGCTCCACACACGACTTTTCCATTTTCCTTTTTACTTTGAGCATATACGATGAGTGATGTGGAAATTCGCGTCGCGTTTCCATGACGTACATTTTTGGGTGATATCGAATTAGGCAGTGCAAAAAATTATGCACAAGTTCGCAACCATCGAAATAATAAACAAGAGGTTTTTAGGTTTTCGTATCGGCGTAAATAAACCGCAAGGAATTGTCTTGAAAATGCCGTCTCAGTTCAAAGCCCATATCAGTGTAAAACGGTACCTTTCAGCGAATTAACCTGGCTGTACAAATCAAATGAGAGAATTTATGTCTCGACATCCCGCTGGTGCCTACATCTGGGCATGGTGAAACAGGAAAACATGGTTACCTGTGTAGCCGAGTGCCTACACCTGGGCATGGTGAAACAGGAAAACATGGTTACCTGTGTAGCCGAGTGGAGTATTTTTGGTACGTCTCTTTTCATACAATAGCGCCTGTTGAGTTTTCCTGGACCGAAATCGACTTAGCTGACCGTTTCTAAATGCGTACGCATATGTCGCCCGATCGGATTACCTGGTGTTAAAAACTCCACAAAGGGTGCGCTGTAGGCACCATATGGCACATTGATTGCCGTCCAATTTTTACTTCAGACAGCTTGCTTGCAAGTGGAACACTGGGGAGAAGTGAAGGACGCCACGCGAAAGGAATTGGACTGCCATAGGTGCAGAATAGTTTCAGTCGCACGAGTCCAACCGCCGCTGGAAACATGACCACCGGCGTGATCCACAATTTGTTTGGGCTTCTGTGTGCCTCGTTAAACGCGTGCATCGTGTCGGACGACTGAGACACCTCTGGATTGCCCACGCGCCTAGCTACGACCGCTAAACCAAGCACGTGATGTCACTGGCGAAACACTGCCAATAGCCGAGAGATCGGCGGCTCGATTTGTAGGTCAGGCGCTCGCGCTTGCTTCCCACCCCTGCTGTTGAGGCGTCTTCCCACGCCGGACCTGGCTTCTCACCCCTGCTGTTGAGGCGTCTTCTCACGCCGGACCTGGCTTCCCACCCCTGCTGTTGAGGCGTCTTCCCACGCCGGACCTGGCTTCCCACCCCTGCTGTTGAGGTGTCCTCTCACGCCGGACCTGGCTTCCCACCCCTGCTGTTGAGGCGTCTTCCCACGCCGGACCTGGCTTCCCACCCCTGCTGTTGAGGCGTCTTCCCACGCCGGACCTGGCTTCCCACCCCTGCTGTTGAGGTGTCCTCTCACGCCGGACCTGGCTTCCCACCCCTGCTGTTGAGGCGTCTTCTCACGCCGGACCTGGCTTCCCACCCCTGCTGTTGAGGCGTCTTCCCACGCCGGACCTGGCTTCCCACCCCTGCTGTTGAGGTGTCCTCTCACGCCGGACCTGGCTTCCCACCCCTGCTGTTGAGGCGTCTTCCCACGCCGGACCTGGCTTCCCACCCCTGCTGTTGAGGTGTCCTCTCACGCCGGACCTGGCTTCCCACCCCTGCTGTTGAGGTGTCCTCTCACGCCGGACCTGGCTTCCCACCCCTGCTGTTGAGGTGTCCTCTCACGCCGGACCTGGCTTCCCACCCCTGCTGTTGAGGTGTCCTCTCACGCCGGACCTGGCTTCCCACCCCTGCTGTTGAGGCGTCTTCTCACGCCGGACCTGCGGGGTGACTGTGCTCTTGCTGTCGCAAGATGGCAGAGTGCCTGAGGACATCATGCTCGGGCCGGATCGATTAGACACGGATTACCAGTGCAAGTGGTGCGCTGTGGCTGCAACAGAAGGAGCTAGGACTGCCGAACTTCGTATGCTGTTTGATCCCTACAGCGAATGTGTAAGGGACCATATTTTTGTATGATGCCTACACTGCGCGGCGGCGATATATGCACACTGTATGCTTGTTGTTGACAACTACCTATTACGCAAGTAGCAAAGTTTATAAGTATTTGCCAGAATAGGTTTTGATTTTGAACCCAAGGCAACGCTTGGGCATTGGTTCATTGGTTCAACGCATTGGTTCGTCTCTAGTTGAGAGATTATAGCTGTGTATTTCTATTCGTGTGCTTAAACCCCTCCACAACGTGGCTTTTCAGGTCTTCGGTTTGTTTCAACGTTTGCTAGGTTTGATTCGTTATAATACTGGCCTCCGGCGTCCCGAAAGAATCACTCTTGGTTGCCCTCTTTTTTCATCGTTCAATACGGCTATTCCGTAGGTCATTTAAGCTGCATGTCTTTTGCATGCCAGTAACGTGCAACTTTTCCGCAAAATTACGTCCCCGGGTAACCGACTGCTGCTGCAGAATGATCTCGATCATCTGGTAGTCGGCTGGTGGTGGGGTCAGGTAGGGGCTGAACCTTAACCCTATAAAATGTAAAACGTTCGCGATGACTCCCAGGCGTGCTCTGATCCAGACCAAGTATTATGCCAATAGAACTGAGTTTGGACATGTGCAAAAGCAGGGACCTTGGCGTACCGTTACGCAAACCTTTTTTATTAGCACTAACAAACTAACCTTTGCTGCACATGTCTTTGACATGGCCAGCAGGGGCAAGCAAGCACTTGGTCTCCTTATTCGGTCCTTCCAAGTCGGTACCAACTGGTCAAAATTCAAACGAAGCGCTGTGATGACGGCGTATTTTGCAAACGTGCGATCGGTTTAGAATATCCCAGCATGGTCTGGACGGGGGCGGCCAATGCCCGCACAGTGCGGGTCGATCGAGTGCAGCTCAAGTTTCTTTATTGGTTACTTTCT